CAGCTTGATAAAGGCGGTATAATGTTTATCAATCTGTAACCAATAGTAACAGCAACAACATAAGTCATCTCCTACACAAGTTGTTTGTATCACACCAATGAGCAGTGATCTGCCGGAGCCAAAGCTGGACAACTATAACGTCCAGGTGATCTTGATCATGAGCCCAGTGGTATTCATTAAAAAGCCTATCAGCCTCTCTCTGATGATTATCAAGGAGTCACTGAGAAGCTTTTATTTTGAAGCAAAAGACACGTTTTAACATCACAGATCCATAAATCACAAATCACAATAGGACAGAGTAATACATCACTGTCATTGTTGCAGTGTGTGTGTGTGCAGCTGCTTGCCCTCATGTCCTTGTACTGTGTGAATCCTCTTTGCATTTATATGTATAACTCTGTGTGTGTGCTTCACCTGCAGAAAGCCTTGAATGTGGATATTTTTAGTCTCGGAAACTAAACCCTGAACCTCTAACCCTGGAGTTGTCAAGCACCGTACCGATGTACTCGGTGTGCGAGTGTAAATGTGTGTCCAGGCCTAGGCTATAAACATGTGGTGACGTGAGCAGCATCTTTCTCAGCTTTTACACAGCCCACTTGTCCAGTTTCCTGCCTTCCGGGGAGACTGAAGCAAACTAATGGTTGTCTTTCATTGTGCAGCCACAAACCTCTAAAGTCCAGAGGTGCCAGCGCACTGAGGAGTTCCTATCGACAGCACACCATGAGCTATAACGAAAGCACGTGCAGGGAAATGTGGTGTGTAACGCCGGCTTTGTAAAAACCACAATGTTTTCAACTATCTCGCCAAAATAAGAGCATTCACAAATGTCACAAGGTAGAGAAACTTTCAATGACTTCCATTATACAAAGGGGTGGAATACTTTTATTGAAAATAAATGAAAATAACTGTCAGTGGGGGATATTGATTGTCATTAGTGCCCACCAGATATTTTCCTGCAAAGAGCTTCATTGACTCTGCAGCTCTTCAGGCTAAATCACTGCTCATATTTCATTCAGAACCATTTGTACCCCGCACTTTATTACAGCAATAAAAGCTCACACCCACAGTTACAGTTCTGATGTTAGTCATTAATACAGCAATCAGGTTACACTGCGTGTGGTCTGCTCCATTTCCACACAGGAGTAGTATTAACTGGTTACAGTTATTTCAGTTAGTATAGTAAGTAACTGTGCTCCAGTATTAGCCACAACACAAGGAGCTTATAGTGTTTAAACACAAAATGTTCTTTACCAGTTGCTGCCATGATATTGTTCATTTTATCATTGAGATTCTGCTATTTTACTAGATTTGAGCCGATTTCTTTTCTTGCTGAAAACGTAGCTGAACCTCCAATTTGCACCCATGGTACTACCGGTGCTACTTTTTAAAATTTATTATTAAGCCCTTTTACAGCTCACGAAACCTAATATTATAACAATAAATAAATAATAATATTAATATACTTAATATTAATAATGTTTACTTTTTGGCAAAAAAGAAAATGTATTTGTTTATGCAAAAGTAAAATAGAAAACATGCTGTATGTCCTTATATGATTATAATGCCTAATGCTTAATTTACCTTTATAAAATGTGCAAGCTCTGTTTTTGGCACAGAGGTGTCACTTCAATACCTTTCTAGAAACTGTGTTTGAATTATTTTAGAAGATAAGAGAAAACTAACTAACGAAAAAATGTTGATTTTGCAATTATTTTAATTACTGTCTCGAACACAGGTGTAGTTCTGTGAGATTCCAGACAATGAGGAAGTAAAACCAATGTCAAAAAACACACGGGTTTGTCTTCGCTAATCTTTTCCTTGTAGCTGTATTTCTTAAAAGGATGAAAACCATGGAATCCAAGTTACTGAAAAGCCAATTGAGAAAGGACTACTGTTAGATCACATCGGTCAGTATAGTTGGTAATGTGTAGTGGTATGAAGGCTTAATAACAATGACTACAAGTAACAGGTGGTCCCCTGGTATTAATATTCCAGTGTCAATAACTGTAAGTTGATTGCAGCGGTGCTCACTCAGTCTGGGTAAAATAAAGAGTTGATCGCAGTTGACCTCCATATGGACAGGCTTATATTAAGAGCCGGCTTTCAATCCTCAGTAACAACTCACTGGAGGTGGTCCAGAAATGTCAGACAGGGCGTGAAACTGTTGCCGGTACTGTTGACAGAGCGGACATTAATTGATTAGGGCTTCTGTGTTGTTATAAACACACTCATTGATTGTTTACAATGAGCTCCAGCTCCATAATGTCTCAGGATGTCAATGTCATTTTAAGTGCAAATGGAAAATGTGCTTTCTCGACACTGCAACAGAGAGCAGGCGTCGTCCCATATGGTTTTCCACACAGATTCAAATGACTCAAACAAATTGTTTCTGGAGCTCAGATAGAAATCTCACAGGATCAGTGTGCAACAAGTCCATCTATATACTGTATTTCTATTCAAGAACAATTCTTTCAGATCATTTTCAGAAGCAGAAATATAAATACATATATTTGCTCTTCCTGTTGGACCGAAAATAATCCTGCATGTTCAACAAGTATGACTTCTACAATGACTACATCTGTAGTTTCTGGCTAACATTTGCCATTGTATTAAAAAAAAAAAAAAAGGACAGATAATTCAATATGAATAACTTCCTGTTCCAGCGATGTCTCAGTGTGTGTGAAGAAAATGAAAATGAAAAGTCTTAATATCACGTCTGAAAGTTACTGTTCCTTTTTAGCAGACTTCATTCAGGTGAATGGAGATTTGAGTATAATAGTACCTCCCACATTTATCAAGGTCACTGGATGAAAAAGTAAAAAACCTTTGCAAAAAAAGAAGAAATGCTGCTCCAGAGTGACAAGGTTACTGGAAGTGATTCACACTGAAATTTTTCACAGTCTGTCAAGTCTGTGTTTGTCAGAAACGGTGGGTGAGAGGAACTTTTTGATTTTAGCATGATAAATTTAAAAGAAACCCTTTGTACCTGTGTAGGTATGTGGAACTGTCCCGTAAAAAAACGACTCGATAGGTTGGCTGTGCTGGAAGCTTATTACAACACATTGTTAGGATTTATTATTAGGCAGCTTCTAGTGATCATAGTAATTATGATGGGAGCAAAGGAGGAAGACAAGTGACGCAGTATAAAGAGTGACAAAGTCTGAGAAGGAAGAGGTGGGTGGATGGCTCCAAACACAGGACAGCGAGACACCAAAGACCTTTGTTGAGGTATGTTGGGTAAGCCTGCATTACAGCGTCAGAGGAAGCAGAGACCGGTTTACAAAGGTTCTACTCAGAAGGTCAGACCATTTTCAATTCCTGAGCCATGATTAAACTATCTTTCTTAAGATGAAGAACAATGTCCAAACACTTCAGCAGCCTCCAGGAATGGAAAGCTGTCTCCGGTCTCTATTTACATAAATTACATAATCATTGTAGATTATCTCCTTTTTCTCACAGTAAGAAGATGACATGAAGAAAAGAACTGCTTGAAATGGTGTAAAACTGGGGCAATACTAGGAATACAGATTCCATACAACAGGGGAAGGACTAAATTAAACTGTCACAGAGATAAACTCAAACTGCCGGAGACGAGGTGCCACTCCAAGATGTCTGAATAAAAGTCTTTATCTTTAAGACTGGTCAAGGCAGTGGTTATACCGAGTCTTTCCCTTCTGACTATAGCAGCGAACTATATAATGCATGTACAAATAACGTAGCCAATAACTGTAGCCAGATTACCACAAACTTGTTACTGGCTACAACTCTGCAAACAGATGACTGTGGCAGGACTGCTCGGGTCTTACATGAGAATAAAGGAAACAAAACTCTAGAAACAACAGGCCAAAAAGACCACAGGAAAGTCAGGGCAGACTGTTTTCTTTGGTGGAAAAATTATGGTTTTATATGAATAGAAAAGCATTAATGGAAGAGTAGTTCTTGGTAGTGGCTAATGGGGATCCAAATAAATAAATAAATATAAATATGTGGCATTTCTTGCCCAGGGTCAACCACGTCACATGTTTATGTATTTTAGCCCATTAGCAATTAATTCAAGCTCTATTTTAGAACAGCAGCTCACCTTTCTGGTCATAGTTTCAACTACTGAATAGATGCTACTGACACAAAAGAGCAAGGAGCTAAGGAAGAAGAAGATTCTCTTTTACATATTATCGTTTTTAGTACAGTATCTGTTCACCCTGCATTTCTGTTGAATCTCTGCCCTAATCAACTGGTTAATTTGTCTCTAATATGTGTAAAATGTGTATTTTGTGTCATTTATGGGAAGTGTTGTGCAAACCGCACAAAAAAAGAGAAATGTAGAGAAGATGCAGTCATACATTCATCATTATTGAACACAGATAAAATCGCCCTGTTCAGGGGCAGAGGATGGAAAAGAAATGAAGATTAAATATGGAACAGGCCACTGTGGAGTACATGTTAAACGTCATGTTCTTATCGCTGTGAATCATGTGTTCTATGTTTAGAAACAGTAATAGGACGAGAGAGTAATGAGTCAAGACTATGCAGTTGAAAGCGAAGGTACGGGGAAGGGTATTTACAGAGATAAAGGCATCTCTTTCAAACATGAAAACAAATCAATCGTTATCACAACGGACTGTCGCCACTTGACATTTGACCCACGGAACATTACTGAGGAAATGTCTGCAGTAATTACTGTCCGCAGGGAAGATGAAGGATGAGTTCCTGTTGTACTCTACTACCTTAACATCCATGTACAGAAATATTATATTTTATTATATATTTGTATATATATATATATATAGTATATTCGATCGTGAACCTGCTGGCACAGGTAATGAGACAGCTGAGGAAGAAGCAGAAGTAGTAGTAGTGTGGTAAGAGGAATATGTCAGTGAGGAATATTAAATGAATGCAAATGTTGTGTTAACGTTTGGTTGTTGGCCACACCAAGTCACTACGTCAACGATTAACAACATGAACCCAGAGCCCATGAGTTAAAAGATTCGGGAACTTACTTGAGTACATGTGTGGAGCCGTTGATCTGCGTGGCTGTGCAGGGAGCGCCGGACCCCAGGATGGACGGCCTGCGGTACCTCTTCCTGCCACAGCACAGGATGATGAGGAAGGCACGGCGGAAGGACTTGTTGAGGAAGGCGTAGAGGATGGGGTTCAGCATGGAGTTGATGTAGCCCAGCCAAAGGCAGGCCGCCCACAGTTTGTCTGGCACTGTGTAGTCTATAAAGGGGTCCACCACATTGGTGACAAAGAAGGGTGCCCAGCAGAGGCAGAAACACCCCATAATGATGCACAAAGTCTTTGCTGCCTTCGTCTCTGTTCGCATGCGGTGGTTGCGTTGATGGTCAGCAGAGTCAACCCCAGCGCCAGAAGTGCCCGCCGCTCCTCCTGCCCGCTGCAGCATGCTGATCTGCAGGGCGTGTGCACGGGCCGTGACGTAGATCCTCTGGTAGGCCAGCACCATGAGGACCAGGGGGATGTAGAAGGCCACCACAGAGCAGGTGAGGGCGTACGGCTTGTTGACCATGAAGACACAGGATGTGGAGTTGCTGCCATCACTGTGGCGCCTCTGCTCGATCTAGTAAAAGAGATCACATCAGGGGGAATAGTGAGGTGGCTTAATATGCCCACACACTGGCACACACATCAATATAAGTAAAAGGTGGAATCTTAGTCCCCAAGTAACCACGTGTTGAACCTCTGAACACTCTGCCCTGCTACACCACCACACGCCTCCAGACTTCACAACAACCCACTAAAAATCCCACGCTCTCCTCAGCTGAGTCCGTGTAGTAAGAGAGGAACATAGCTCCCGAGGGAGAAGGAGTCTCTGCACGTCACCATTAATCACAGTGAAGTCCCATCCCGGTTTTTCCTCTGCTATCATCTCATCTCTGTGGGAAACTACTGCTCACGGCTATGGGATGAATAATACAGAGATCAATCCATATCGCTGCACGATACCACGTTCCCCCATGTGTAAAACAGAGGTTGTTTTTATGAGTGGGCTGACATATTAAATGTAAAATGTTCAGTGTTTCCATGTTTAGGTTATCTTGCATGCTGCAGGAACGCAGACAATAATAAGCACCCTGAGTACGTGAAGTGATTCATGCACAGATAAAATAGTCCTTTATTGGGTCATGTGGATTTATTCCACTGGAGCCGCTTGAGGTTAAACGTCTTACCAAATGGCATCCTGGAGGCAGTGTTTGTTTCATGCAAAAAAAAAAGTCGTCATTAAGGATAGAATAAATGTTTTTGGGAACCAGATTTCATGGATGTTTCTATTCTAGATAGAACATGTAAAGTTATACTGAACACAAACAGACTTCTTCACTTGAGGGATGTGAGCTGGTGTAAAACCACAGACTGTGGTGCCTTACCGATGAGAGCAGTGTATTCCACCGGGCCATAGAAAACAGTACACAGATAGACAGTGAGTCGTATGTGCAGCTGAATCCTGGTTGTTTTATTGAGTTTTGGAGCTGCAGTTTGTGCCAGAGATGACTGGCTACTCAGAATATTCAACAGCTCTAATTAGACCCTGAGAGAGACGCTGATACCACTGCTGCACAGAGCTAACTTTAGACTGCTGTTGTGCTGTAAACTCTGTGTGTGTGTGTGTGTGTGTGTGTGTGTGTTAGAGAGAGAGGGAGAAGAAGATGTGTGTGTCTCTGCCACTGCTGCCAAAAATGAGTCAGCCTGTCGTCCTGTTGACAGTCAGCTTGGAAGAAACTTTCTCTGGCATTCAGATAAAGACGCACAGGGAGCGAGCAAGGTTAATAGTGGCTGGGGTGTTCTTCTCTCCCCCTCCTCACACACTCATGCTGTCATCTGTCTTTGTCTGCACACCTGTCTGCCTGTCTCTGTCCTCTTTCTACTTTACTTTGTTCTTCTCATTCAGAACGGTCACGCTGTCGTTCGTTAACAACTTATTACCTCTAATTTTTAATTCAGAAATGCATGAAAATGTCCTTTAGACATTGATATGGAGACTTATACCCCTTAGTTACAAAATTCTTCAAAATAAAAGCATTGAGGACACATTATAAGGACAGTGAAAAATATAAGAACATAAGAAAAAAGGCACATCAACAAAAGAGCAAAATCATCAGTTAAGAAAATTGAGTACCTCCGGAGACATTTTAACAAAATGTTTGGTGAACTGGATTCATAATGGAACTAATAATGAGAGGTAAATTGTTGTAAAGCTCAGAGGCCAATGTGGCAAATGCTCATTCTACCTTCATTTTAAGACACTTAGTTAGTTATTATGTGGGCAGAGTGAGTCAGAAATGTACTTAGAGGTTTCAGGTGACAAGTAATAACTACAATTTATACTAAATTTTAAACATCACTAGCAGTCAATGGAGAGAGAAAGGAATACATGCTCAGTGTTGTTTGTCTTTTTTTTCAACCACATTACAGTAATCTAGTCATGAGGAGCAGGAGCATTTATTCAGTTATCAGCTTTTTGAAATAATAAAATATGTCTGACCTCAGAAATATTTCTTTTTGACTTTAAAAAACTAAAAAAAAACATGATTGTTCAAATTTCCTAATATGAACAGAAAAAATCCAGACATGATTTTAACAGGACACCAAAAGTAGTTTTCTTTTTCACAGTTCTTTTATTGTCTCATTGGATTGAGTTACAGCTTGATATTGGAGGTTACAGGTCGCACAGATTGCTGCATGATCTTTAGAGCTCAGGGCCAGTAATAAGGACCTCTGGACCTTTATCTCTCCATTCCACCTCTGTTATTCTGTTTAATCTGATGTAAGATTTATATACTCAGTGTGATCTGGTGGAAGTAGCAGTTGCTTTTATCCTAATTCGGTAGTTCCTAAATTTTGAAACAAGTCAGTATCCTAACTGAAGAGAATTGAACATTCCTCTTTCCTTTCTCACTGGATGAAATTACAGTTGTATAACTCCATCCAGAGAGGACGGACACACGATGTGAGAACTGTGACTTGATATTTTATCCTTTTCTATTGTGTGTCTGAGAAGCCTTTTTTCTGTATCCTCTCACTTGCATGTTCTTTGACATTAAATAAACCTCAGTGCACAAACAAGACACTCGTGACACTGGCAAACCTACTTTACATATTTAGAGTTTAACAAAGAAACAGCTTGACTGTCTGTGGTGTCAGTGGCCTTGTCCCTCTGTCCCTGTATCTGACATGTTGATTTAGTTTCCGCAGCAACGCATGAAGCATTTCTTCCTTCTTGTAAACGATGCTCCTCAGTACTACAGTTTGTTTCTCATTGCATGTGGACTCGAATTGTTTATAATGTTTATGTAAAGCATGTTTCATTCTACTTTTCTGACTGTTTTCCTCATTTCTGTGATCCCTCTTTTTCTCCCCTAGCGGCAGCAGTTAACAGCAGTGTAAACTTAAACATCCTGTGGAGATGTAAAATATTTTTGGCTGCATCTCCATATAAAACCACGCTAAATACTCCTTTTCCCTGGTGTACAAACACACACACACTCACAGACACACAAACCACACTACGCACCAGGTGGTCAATGCCGATGCTGTTCCAGCCCTGCATGATGGGCAGGAAGGAGATGAAGGTGGGGATGACCCAGCAGCCGCCGATCATCAAAGCCACTCGCATTGGTGTCATTTTGTTCCGGTAGACCAGTGGCTGGCAGCAAATGGCGTAGTACCTGAAGAAAAGATGACAGTAATTATTACATTATTACATTAAGAGAAGTACAAGATTTAAAGCCCAAAGTGGCTCTTTTTCAGGTACAAATGATTAACAGGTGAGACACTACATGTGGACAAAGAAGACACACATAAAACGTAACTGAATGTAAGTAATCGGTCAACTCATCAATAGACCCAAAGCTGTGAAACAGTTGATGAAAGAAATGTTGAGGTAGAATAAAAGAAACTTGAGCCTTTTGAGACCTTCTTGATTCTTTGAGGTTGCTCATTCCTGTTGGTTCTGTTGTTTTAAAAATGTAGTAACATACCTGCTGTAGATAAATGCTTTACTTTGACTCTTTAATATCTAAATCGCCAAAAACTGCATGAAGAAAGCAATGACAGCTTGTTTATTACCTCTGTCAAAGATGCTATTCTTTCACTCATGTCTGTTAGTTTGTCAGCAGGATTGAAACCGGGTGGAGGGATGGGGCGTGGGCCAGAGACGAACCCATTAAATTTTGGAGTGGATCTAGTTAAAGGGGGCGGATCCACAAATATTTTTATATCAAAAATTTGTCTCAGCTTAACATTAATGGTGTTGAGAGCTACGACTTTGCACAATTTGGTGCAGATTCAGATAATAATGTGGATCGGGTGGAAGAAAGTGTTTGGCCTTGGCGGAGGTATGTGCTCTACTGAGTGCCAATCTAGCTGCTGGTGTTTTCTACTGTCACCAGTCCATCTGTTTCTGTCTCTCGTTTCCATTTTCAATAAGCTCCTTTGGCAAGGGAAGAGGGTCTTTTCTGCCAATGCATTTGCAAAAATAAGCTAACCACCAATAATTAAGCACTAGAGTGTTTTCAAAAATCAAATGCCCCCCTCCCCTTTTTTATCATGTCTTTTTCCAATCTGTTTTTCTCTAATCACTCTCAAACCGACAATGCCCCCATACAAACAGCCAGATCCAGCAAAGGATGGTTTTCCCAGTTTGGTGTGGAAGAACTTACACAGAGCACCTGACCTCAGCCCTGAGGTCAGAATGGTGGAGGCTGTTTTAGCTGAGTATTAATGCCCATTGTTTTGGAATGAGATGTTCAGCTGTCAAATGTGGGTGTCAGTGAGTGTCCACTCACATTTGGCCATGTATGTCCCTTTTGGTAGGTATCTCTTTAAAAAACATAGAAACTCAACAATCTATTTCTTCCTCTCTCTCTGACCCAGATCCATCACTCCTATTGTCCATTTTCTCGTCTTCTCTTCTTTTCTTTAGCCCTCTAAGTTTTCTGCCTTTCCTCTTATACATGTATTTCTCCCTTTTATACCGAAACTCAGTTTGGACTTTAATATCTTCTGCCTTTTCAAACAAGTGAGACAAATTAATGCTGCTCATATCCAATGATTCTGCACAACAGGATTATCTTCAAACCTCTGCTGTCTTTCTCTGCTTCTCTATCTGCTTCATTTCATTTCTAACTCACTCCCTTCCTAACTCACATGCACACACACACACACACACGCACTTTGACATTGTCACCAGTGTGTCTGTGTGTGTGTGAGCATGATATCAGACACTACAGCAGGAATTCCCAGCATTCTGTCACATTGTGATATCGCTAAGAAGACGCTGGCGCTAAACTGCATGAATGGAATCACAGGGACGATAAAAAAAATACTGTGAATGAGCAGGGAGAGAGAGAGAGAGAGAGAGAGAGAGAGAGAGAGAGAGAGAGAGAGAGAGAACAAAAGATATGGAGTGCGGAAAGACAGAAAGAGGAGATAGGCAAGAAAAGGAAAACAGGAAGAGACGGAGAGAGAGAGAGTCAAGGATAGAAAAGAAGGGAATGAAAAAAGACAGTTGGTAAATGGGAGCAAGGGGAAAAGAGGAGAAGCAGGAAGCAGAGAAGAACGGAAGGAAACATAAGAAGGAAGAGAGAGAACAAAATGGGTGTCAGAAAACAGAAAAGGGAGACTGAGAGAGAGATTAATCCATTTACAGAAAAGCTCAAATGACAGATGCTGGATCAGTTACTGTAACAAATCCTCTACATCTGCAATTTTACCTGGTCAATGACATGTGTGTATGTGTGTGCATGTGTGTGCATGTGTGTGCATGTGTGTGCATGTGTGTGCGTGGGGACACTGACCAGAGCTGGACCTGTTCCTGTGTGATAGGAAACAGATGAAGTCAACCAACCGAGCCACTCAGACCTCCGTTACCCTCAAACCGCGGTTCAGTGACAACTCAGAGTTGAGGGAAACTCTGATCACTTCAACTCTGAGTCAGTTACTGTGGTAACTGTAATTTGTGAATCTAATCTTTATTTCCTCACACACTCACATTTGGTATCAAAGCATCAGCACGCATTCATTTGCAGAGGTTGATGGTGGAGGAAGAGGATCAATATCCTGGTTGGATAGTATTAGTTTGTTATCCAAGGCCGATCACTTTTATGATCAATCAGTCATCAGTGTAAGGACAGAGACAGTCTGCTGGACGACTAAATAGGGAACTCTTTGCTCACAGCTTTATAAACACTAATGTTTCGTCAGGCCCCAAGAAGCTAAACAGACAAAAGCTGCAGCATCTCCAACTAACTGATCAATCATGAGAATATTCACTGAATGATTGATTATATAATAATGGAAACTGTACTTGCAGCTCTCCTCTGCTTTAAAGTCTCAGTGTCCAACTCCCACACTCATCCTCTCCACAAAGGCTGAATATACACATTTTTATAACCTCTGCTTATCAGACAGTTGACTGAACACGGAGCTCTGCTGCAGCAGTATTAAACCTAATCCAGTTTATCCCCTCGTCAGTCACTGTGGATATTTTGCTGCCTCTTCTGTTGTGATCCTACCTCATTACCTACTTGTGCTGTGTGGCATTTCACAGCCATCAGTAATGTGGAGTGGCTGTGTGTGGTCCGCATGTGCTGTGGCATTAAGAAAAAGGTCAAGACACCCTTTTCTATTTGAAATTCCCAAAATAGTCGTGCTGAAAGGTTGCAGATTGATGCTTTAAGTGTGGATGTGGTGGTCTGAAAGACAGAACCCCCACCCCCACCCACCCCCAACTGTCTCCTACACAAGTATGAATATTTCCATTGTGTAAATACAAATGTCCCCACACACAAAAACACACATGCACAAGAGCACAGCATGCACACACATTCCCAGATGCTTAAATACGTACAAAGAACCAATAGTATGCATAGACACACACACACACACACACTTACACACACATTAACCTGGGGAAGATTAGAAGCAGACGTAGCACGGTTGGATGGCGGAGTGTCCTGGCCATGAGCACTTTAAATGGTCCCTGTTTCCTTTTGATCTACAAAACATTTCTCTGTGTTTATTTCTGACAATTTTATTCAGGCATTATTTATAAGGGGGGACCGTGTTTCTGAGAACGACCCAAACCCAAAATATGTTGTTGCATTCCACGTCCACAAGCTGCCGCAGGACGTTTGAATTTATCGTCAAACTTGAGAGGAGGTTAGTGACAAGAGAGTAGGCCAGTTCAACCCCCCCATACACCACCAACCCACCCACCACCCCCACCCCCCCCACACACACACACACACACACACACACACTGCCCATCAAAGGTAAACAACCACCATAATTTTCAAATACATGTATATATAAAAAGAAGCTTTGTATAAATGGCAAACAAGCTTGACATTAATCACAAAAACTAGTGAGGTAGATGACATTTTTTTGTTTTTAAAGATTCTTGAGTGTTTAACTTCTCCATCGACACAATCAGTCATCAATCCAAACCCTCTAAAAATCAATAATAAACTCAGATAACAAAAAAAGACTGTGAGACTCTTTAGATATTTGGAAATAAATTTTGTTTAGCCACTGAAATGGCCGTTGTGTTATTTTGCTTTCAAGAATAATCACTGGTAACATTTGACTTTAATGCTTTAATATGTGACCTCTTCATATACAACTGTCTAAAAACGAGGAGACCTGTGTTATACATTTTGTTAAGTTGTGTATCGGATGAAGGATTTTAGTCTTCGAACGTCTGAAACGTTGTCAGAGAAAGCAGAGGAAACGTTAGCGGCAGCTCTACTCGCAGCCCCTCCGACCCAAACAGTGCTGGACAAACACCGATTTTTAAAATGAAACTGCTTCATTCAGTGTTTTTACAGGATTTCATCACCGGGTCTGATTTTTCTGGAGAGAAGAAGAAGCTGACGAAGTGGTGATGAAGACAACAACTCCCATGATCCCACACTACTTAGCTATGTCGCCAAACTCTGTCTTTTATTATTGTTTTGATTGAGAGACCGCTGGCGGCAGTAAATGACATAAGAAAGGAGGTGCACTCATAACCCTGATGTAATCTTTTTTATTTCAAGTTGTGAAGATCAAATCTTTATCCGGAGTTAATGAAGTTCATCATTGGATCTTGCTCATCTCTCATGAGTTGACATAAGAGACGTGAGAAACAAAGGTATTTTACTGAGAAGCTATACAATGAACAAGTTTGTTTGGAGGTTACGTTGATGGGAAACAGCTCGCACCACTTGGACGACCTTCAATATGAATGAGTTGATTTGGGATTCAGCTGATCAGACTGAGCTGAGCCATCTGGATACAAGTAAATGATTAATTATCTGGGAGCACAAAACAGAATCGCCACTCTTAAGAATTAGCAACTACGGCTTTAGCCTGATAAAAAAAAAAAAAACTGGGTCAAATTTGGTCTCTGGTGATCCATCAAAAACTTTATCAACATCTGCCCCACTCTGTCTATGGGAAATAAATTGATATTGGCGGGTCCAGACATTTATGGCGGCAAGTGATAGTGGAGGACAATTTGCTGGCTTGCTGTCATCCAAGATAGGAGAGAACAGAATTAATGGCGTTGAGACAGAGGTATTCAACCAAGAAGGCAGACCTCTATAATAGCTTTCATAATATAAAAGGAAGGTTTTCCTGAGAGCCATGTGCATTTATAACAAGGTCACATCTCAGTTTGACCTTT